GGTTCTCTAGCCTGTTATTCAGATTCAGATTATGGGGGAGCATGTGATGGTCGATCTACTACGGGTTTCTGTGCTTTTCGAGGGACTCATCTTATCTCTTGGAAGAGCAAGAAGCAGACAGTTGTCTCCCGCTCGTTTGCAGAGGCAAAGTATCGGGCATTGGCACTTGGCACATGTGAGATTATCTGGCTACGATCGATTCTTGACGAGTTGGGTTTTTCAGTGACCTCTCCATCCACATTATATTGTGATAATCAATCTGCTATTCAGCTCGCTTCTGACTCTGTACTACATGAGAGAACGAAGCATATAGAGATCGATGTTCACTTTCTTCGGGAGAAGGTCAGCAGTGGTCTTGTTACTCCATCGTTTGTGGGGACCAGTGATCAAGTTGCGGATGTTTTTACCAAACCTGTCACTCTGTCTATTCTTCGGGACTCCGTTGTCAAGCTTGACTTAGTTGACATTTTTGCGCCTAGCTTGAGGGGGAGTGTTGGAGTATAGATAGTCTAGGTTTATTAGGATTTCTTTTCCCTTTAGAATTTCTTTTTCCTTTTTTACCCTTACTATGATTTTTATATTTTGCCTATATATACGGGGTTTTACTCTTAATTTGAGTATCTCCTTTTACTCACAATTATTTCAAGTATAATCATCAAAACCCCCTTGCCGCCTCCTCGGTTGACATATGCCATGATCTTTATCCCTCTTGCTCTCAAACTCCTCCTGGCTATCAGATTGATAATAAAGTTATCACATAATGGGTTGATTAGCAAATCGATCCCAACCAAAGGCCTCTGCTCGGATCTTGCCAATTCCTTGGTCAACATGAATCTTATAACCGTGTCCATTAATAGATTGGCCTTGGGCAAATCCCTCAGTGCGAGCTCCGTTAACTATTGGTTGCCTGTTGGTGTTATTGAGGTTCAACCCCATGAGCAGATCTCAGATTTCCTAGAATTACTTGTCAACATGTTGTTACTACCTTTCCAATGCTCCCCACAAATTCTTTCACCCCACGATCTTTGTTAGTAGGGTTTGTGTGATTTGTCTCGTTATGTGCCATTGAACAAGGAAATTCCTTGCTTTGATACTATTTGATGTTAAAGAAACTTAGCGCACTAGAGTAAAGAATACTCTCTCAAAGAGAATAAAATCAATAATATTGCATAAAAAAGATCTCCCAATTCTAAGGCTTCCATCCTTAATTATAGTACTAAAGTCCTAATCCTTGTAGAATTCTGATTCTAATAGAATATAGAAACTACTCCTAATAAGAAATACAATTCCTAATAGAATAATAATATTAATTTAAAAGAAAACTTAAATAAAAAGAAAATTAACCTTAAAATTAAGGAAAAAATAATAATTAATAAAATATTCGCAACTCTCGGTACTACTCAGCATAACCTCTAAGGCAGAGCACTATTTGGCACAGCTCAACTCTTAGGTCTTTGGTGTTCTAACTGCTCTAAGTCTTCAACTACCTATTCTACATCAAAAAGAATCCGAAGAAACAATAACGATATGTGCAACACCTGATATGACATGATCTTAACATTTAAATATTTAATGAATTTAACAGAACTCACTAATTTAATGATTTATATTGCAATGATTCACAAAGATGGTACAGAAAAGTGGTGACTGTAGCGTTGTTGCCAAAGAAATTGAAGAAGAATTTGGAGATATAATCTAGGGTGGGATTCGAGTATGGTTTTGGGTTTGGTATAATATTAGGGTGTAGGTCGGATGGACTTTGTTTGGTTTTTGTTGAAGGGTATAATGGTCAAGTTGTGGTTTTTGTTACGTCCATTAGTTGATCATTCCTGGTAAGGGGGTGCCAGTGTCATTTTGTATACATAAGGTGGGCATGTCTGATTAAGCAACAAATCTCAGGGGTAAAGTTGTAATTCTCCCTTACTATTATGTCATTCGCACAGTACTTTAAATTTTTTTAATTTTTATTGGTTTTAGCTATTCATAGTTAATTTCATTAAGTCTCTTTAGTGTGGGTAATTTATCATACGGGGAAAAAAAATTCATATAGTATTAAAAATTATTAATTTCAAATTATATTTTTTTAAAATGAAGTTATAATTATTTGTGTTAATTCATGATCAATCATGAAATATTATGATTGATCATGAATATTTTCTAATCAATTATAACTCTATTTTTTTAAATTATAATTTAATCTTTAAAAATTATTAATTATAATTTTATATTTAAATGTATAACTTAATTTTTAAAAATTATAATTTTATAACAGACCATAATATTGTAGAATCGATTGTGATTTATATTTTAAAGCTAGGCCCCATGGTCTAAAATGTTTTAGTGGGAGCGGCGAGCCTTTTCTAGTTAACTGCAATTAGTCAACACCTCCGTGTGGGGGCGGCTCGAGGTTGGCCTAGTCCTATCATTATTTTTTTTTAAATTTAATTTTTAAATCTATACAATATTACTCTTATTTTTTCTTCAACGGTAAAAAATGCGTGAATTAATTTACGCGTATTTTAATTTATTCTCTTAGATCTGATGAAAAAAAATATTATTTATAGTGGGATTAAAATATTTATGAGAGATAAAATATTTCATAACCTAATTTCAAAGTGTTGCCAAAATTCAAATTTAAAATATCTGAATTTACAGCTTATCTCTGTTACCATTTAAACTATCTCTATTATTTTTAGCAAATGTAATTGGACTAGTTTACGATTATTGAAAACAAAAATGCCTTACTGTCATTTATAATTTTTGCTGGGGTTTTTATAATTTTTTTTATTATTTTTGTGGTAATTGTGTTTAATATTTTTGTCTTAACTTATGATTAATCTTAGAATGTTAGGATCAATAGAAACTTACCACAAAAATGATAATAATACCTACAAAAATTATAAAAATATTCAAAAAAGTTATAAATCAGTGACAATTTTTTTTATATATACATATATATGTATATTTTGTAAAATGACTTATAAAAATTACAAAAATATCCATTAAGTTATAAAAATTTGAAGATATTGTACCGAATTTTTTTTGGGATACCGTAAAACCTTTTTCTCCCTTCTTCCCCTTTCTTTCCTCTTTTTGCTCGAATCTCAACATCTCTCTATTGTTTAAGGCTTTTTCAGTTGGTGCAATAATGTCAACTACCATGGTGGGGTTCAATTGTCTTTTACTTTTCTTCTTTACTTCCATAGTCAACAAAATTGTCCTTGCTTTTATTTCATTCCCTCCTTTCCAGATCCAATCATGGCGGGAAAATTAATTGGTAGGAAAAGGTTCAGAATAGAACAGGAAAAGAAAAGAACCCAAAAAAAAAAAAAAATTGCTCATATCCACCACACAAAGTGCAGAAAAAAGCAACTGTGGAAATTAAATAATTGTCAGTCATGCAAAGTTCAGATTCTCAATATACAGATTTCTCAATTTCAATGGGCAAGACAAAAATCTTGGACGGCTCTAAAAGCACAGAGAAAACCCAAGAACTCTCCTCATTCCACTGATTACCAAGAAAACCTTACTAAGGGGAGAACTTTGAACTTCTAATTTCGTGCATAAAACCGGGTTTGAATCAAGATGTCTGGTTTACATGCGATTTGTGTGCATTCGAAGTTTGCATTGCAGCTTCAGTTTAAACTGCGTGATTGGAGCAATTTCCAATTTACGGGAAGAAAAATAGTTATTCCCGAATGCAGAAATCATAGGCTTGGTCTTCTATCAAGGTTTCGTCTAACCAAGCAATCTCCTCTTTGTCCAACTCTAGCAGATCATTTCCTCCTACATATACAAACCCATGCATTGCAAAATCATCGTCCCGATCATTTAGACCACTGAAAAAGTGTGTGAAACCATTATCGTGTAACTCCTCAAAGCCCATCTGCCTCAGATCATTAGCATATAGTGAATTCTGCTCGAAACCAAAATCGAGCTCTTGACAAACAGTGGGTGACATTGGCATAACTTCCAGGAATTCTGTAATCAGTTGATCTCCCATATCACCACCAAATAGCAAATGGTCATCAAGTTCCATATTGAACTCCTTACTAATGGAGGGTGAGACTAGTTGACCATCCAATAAACCCGAAATACATTGTTTTTCTTCCTCGAATTTTCTTTCATTGGCTTCTTCGTTGAGTGGATTTCCCAGGCCATTAATAAATGGAGTTGGAGTTGATGCAGAAACATCAAGCACAGAAGAAGGGGATGGATGAAAACACAAACCACTACTCTCCTCTGAAGCAGAGGAATAAATCAGTACTGCATTGTTTTTGTCGTTGATTGGAGTTCCCGGGCCTTTAACAAAGGTTTCTGGTGCAGAAACATCAAGCACAGACGAAGGGGGTTGAAGAAAATACAAGCCATTAGTCTCCCCCGAAGCAGAGGGGTAAACCATTAGTGCATTGGCTTCTTTGTTCATTGGATTTCCCAGGCCATTAACAAAGGGAGTTGGTGAAGAAACATCGAGTACTGACGAAGGGGATGGATGAAAATGCAGACAATTAGTCTCCTCCGAAGCATATTGAGCAGTCACAGAGCTCTCAACAGTTGAATCAACTGATGAACTCGAATTCTTACTCTTTTCCACCATGAGAATTCTCTCAATCTCAAGTCTTTTTGTCTGGTAAGCTTCTGCAGCCTCTTCTGCAGTATTGTAAGTACCAAGCCACACTCTTTTCCCTTTAATCGGGTCTCGAATCTCTGCTGCATATTTTCCCCATTTCCTTCTCCGAACACCTTTGTACATGGACGATGATCTTTGTACCTTCTTATTTTTGCCAATTTTAGCATCTATTTTCCCTCCATTTTCACAACAATTCAAAGAATTATCTGTAGATGATTCATATTGAATGCCCGGAACAACAAATTCCTTCACAACACGCTTAACTCTTGCAGAAATATGTATATTACCTTGAATTGGCTCATCTTTTTCACTCTCTGAATCAGTGGCGTCAGGATCATTAAAAACAATTCGAAGTTTTCTCATCGATTTTGTATACTCCTCCATGTTTTTCTTTTCTTTCTTTATTTTTTTGTCTTCTTTATTAATCATACCAGGACTCAAAATTTGCTTTGGAAGGCCTGGCATGTCGTGACTAAAGAAATAACGCATACAATTATTTTTTGAATTTGAAGATAAACCCTAAACCCCCAGCAAAGAAATTTCAAAATGGATTTTTTTTTTTTGAAATTCCTAAAGGCACACAAAAATCCCAAAACCTTAGGACCTTAATCTGGAAAGAAGCGTTTTATATGAAAAGCCCCAAAGCACTCTCAGCCCAGAACAAGTCCTGCGTATGGAAACACAAAACATCCAAAACCCCATAAACCCAGCAATACCCATATCATAAAATCTCATATAATTGAGTTTTTCAGTGTTTGTTTTTGAGAGTGTGTGTGTGTGTGAGAGAGAGAGAGAGAGAGAGAGGCCATACCTTTGTGATCTCAAACGCATGGAAGAATATGGGGCACACTGTTTGAGCCTCTGACTCAGACAAAAATCGGTGCAGAAAGCAGACTTTGACAGGGACTGGTAAGAGAGCCAGAGCTGTTTTGTAGCGCCAGACAAATTACAAACACTCCTGTTCCCAAACGACATATATTCTTCTCTCTTCCTCTCCTCTGCTTTTTCTCCCAAACACCGTCTTTCTCGAGAAACAGAGCGAGAGAGAAGAAAAAAAGCACGAGTAAATTTCAAGAAATCCAAGGAAAGCTCAAGTTATATAGGAGATTCAATAGATTGATTTTAACAGATTTGTTTCCAAAAGAATGAAAAGTTTACACAGAGTGGACAAATATGGAAAGAGAATCAGCAAAATGTGTAGAGAATAGAGAATGCAATTACCAAAATTTTGTACTTTCTTTACCTCTCTTCTTTGTATCTTTTTTGTGCCCCGTTTGGGTCTCTGTTTTGGATGCAGCTATTGGAGAAACTTGTGGTTTGGTTGGGCGGAGTTGATCCCCGGATGCTACTTTAATCAATTGATCAATGAGGTGAGGTATCATCGTGGTGTAGGTTCATTAGGGTCGTTCATTGTGCCACGTAAAGATCTGGCGGTGAATTGTGTAATTGGTTCAGGATTATTTTCGTGTTTTTAAGTTTACATTAACAAAAATTTAATTTCGACAATTTCTCATTAGTTTTTTCTTTTTTTTTTTTTGATACAAATTTTATGCAGAAAATTATCATTTTTTTTAATTCAATTTAATTTGAATTAAATAAAAAAAAACTCCCAAAAGATTGGAAAAAAAGTATATTAACTAAAAATTTATACCAAACGAAAAGACGATACTTAATACTTAATACCTAATAATTTTTCATTTTTTTTATCTGGAATTCTCTTTTAGATCCTGTGTGTCCCGTTCGTGTTCTTTTATATATTTGCGATAATTGATAGGCTCTTGTAAGTTTTTAAATAGTTACTATAGAGTGGAGGTCATAGACTATTTTAGTTCTACTTTTAGTTATTCTCATCTTGTATTTTGAGACCTCATTATCAATGAAAAAGGTAGGTTGCAATTACGAAAACTTAACAAAGTTTTGAAAATTGGGTTCCACTTAAATTAAATCTTCAAAAGTTTTTCTCTCGACGTGGATTCTATTTCTCCTGATATACGCATGTAACAACATGACAACAAAACAATAGTCTTGATAGTTTTAACAATTCTTTTAGGCACTGCAAGATATGGTTGTCCGGTTGACAATGGGTCTAAATTAGGATCTCGATTGAGAAAGGGTGAATAACGATAGGGATCACGTTCAACTCAATCAAGATCAAAATTTTATCTGCCTAGTGAGATAGAACATACGTGGTGTTCATCCCAAGGCAACAACCATTGCAGATTTTAGTGATGATGATGATGATTTTCTAGATAACACTATAGATCACAGAAATCCTAGCCATGAGTCTAGGGATTTTCAAATGAAGGTTGATCTCACCACTTAGGTTGATCTCACCACTTTCAACAGTCATCTTCGAATTGAGGATTTTTCAGATTGGTTGGCATAGGTAGAGAGATGTTTCAATTATATGGAAGTTCTAGAACCAAGAAGGTGAATTTGGTGGAGTACAAGTTAAATGGAGGGGCTTTTGCCTAGTGGGAACAGATCCAAGCTACTCGTACCAGAGAGGGATGATATTTGATCTGTGTATGGCCGAAGATGAAGAAGTTACTGAGATTGAGGTTTTTACTTCCAGATTATGAGCATGTCTTATTTTTTCAATATCAAGATTGCAAACAGGACAACAGATTTGCTCTAGCATATGCAAAAGAGTTCTAAAGGCTTTCTTCTTTTAATAACATGAATGAGGCTTAATCCCGAAAAATTGCTCGGTTTATTTGAGGGTTGCGTTTTGCCATTCAAGATAGAGTTTCTTTGCAAGCTCTATTTTCTTTAACGAAATCCATTCACTTAGCCACGAAGGTAGAGACCTAGTCGAATAGGGCTAAGTCTTAAGTATAGAATCAGAGTTCCTTTTATTCATCACGTCCTATGGCGTATTGGGTAAAACAAACTCTACTAGTCCCAGGATGAGAATCCAACAACAATGGGGTACTTGCAAAGGCAACAACCTCAGGTTCGGGTTTTTCTCTAGTATCCAATGAAGCACCAAAGAATCCCAATGCTAGACCTGAAGGAGATAAGTGTTATGATGGGGGTTAGCTAGCTCATTGCTCTAATCAGTTCTTTAAGAGGGGTACAATGAATTTGGTTGATGTAGAGGAAGCTAATCAGGAGGAGAATTGTTAGGTGGAGGAGGATGATTGTGCTTGGGCATTTAGTAATGCAGGAATCTCCCTAGCCATTCGTTGATTAATGTATACTCCAAAGATCGAGCAGGATATTTGGAGGCACAATATCTTTCGAACCACAAGCACTGTGAACCAGATGATTTGTCAGTTCTTCTCCTTATACTATCGGGTTGATTAAGAGTGTCGACGAAACAAAGGTAACATAAATTTTATTCTGGGAGGAGGAGATATATGTGGATATTCCCTCACTATTATTCACGTGGATTACACGACACTATCTAGAGGGTGAATAGGTTCTTAAATTTTAAGCTGGGACAATCATTAATTTTAAACCTATTACTACCACAATTACCTCTTCTCACAAAGATTAAAGAATTAATAGTGAGAACTTGTTTTAGCCACAAAGACACTATGAACCAATGAAGATTAGTGTATTGATTTTAGCAATTAGTCACTCAACACTCAATCTCTCACGGGGATCCCAACCAATGACCCAAAACCCTTTGATGCACCACTATGAATGAAAAATATATTCAATCAAACATTCGATCAATCATATAATGCACGTGTGTGCTCAAATAACAAGTGTGTATGAAAATACGATAAAAAACACAAGCAATTTTTTAACATGGAAACCCTACTCGAAAAAATCATAGGGAACCTTCTCACACTAAAGCCTAATCCATTACCCTAAAATCAGTTTACAGGTACTGAAGTCTTACACCTCAACCGGTACCATGGTTAGATGCTCTATGTCTTTAATAAACCTCTCTACCAAAGTGCTTCTCCGGCCCCTTATGTAGCTTCACTTAGATTCACCACCGCAATGGATCCTCAGAATGCACACTCCAATGGGTTTGGTCTTCAACCAAATAAGATCTTCTTCACCAAGTTATGTGGTCAGATAAGAGTAACTAGATGGTAGCCTTGGGTCTTAAGGATCTAGGGTTGTGGTAGAATATCTCTAGATAGAAAATGAGATTTCTTTCTCAAAATACTGCAAGAGAGTTATCCTAAGTGTAGGAAAGACTTTTCCCACTTATAGAACTATAATAAGGGAAATATTGGTCAACAAAAATCTCAAATTTGTGCATGATCGCTCAAACCATGGGAAGGCAGTTATAGTTGTCATTGGAATGCAAAAAAAAAAAAGATTTCAAATCTACCCAGGAGAGTAGGACTGCTTGAGCGACCAGGGGACCGCTCAAGCAAACTCAAATGGTGATCCCTTGTTCGTCTTTTTTCTAAGTCATGAAAAGACCGCTCTAGCAAAAGTTCACGAGCCTAGGGTAGTCTTTACTGGTTGTTTAAGCCTATAACTAAGCAAAAAACTTGTCATCTTGAATACTAAAGGGTGTGGCTCGTTCCTATATTTTCAAAATGCACAAGAGGTTTAGAAAACTGTTCTTTTAAGAACACCTGGGAGTTATTCTCAAATCTAATATTGATTTTATTTTAACACTAATTCTCTTAAGTTTATTAAATTAAGGGATCATCTTAGGTATCTATTTTATTACCTTGTCCTAAGCAAGAAGGTGCATATAGAGTGTTTTTGATGTATTTTTGACACATGATTTCCTCCTTTCAAATATGCTTTCAGATCTTCATCGTTCTAACATCATGACCATTGAATAGATTGAGATTTACAAAGGACTAAATTAAATTAGCCAATTACAAAACTAGATCTAATAAGAACAATATCTTATCCATTTTTAAATTAGCAAATGTAAGGATGATATTGTGCATGATGTTGGGGATATGGATGCATGTCATATTTTGTTAGGGAGTTCATGGCAGTATGAACTGAATGTTATTCATAGAGGCAAAGACAACACTTAAAACCTTTTACAAACCTATAATAAGAGAGACTCATTGCGTAGCACCTCAGGCTAAGGGTGGACCCTTTCTTATTGTTCCTTCCATTTTGGAAGATGTCAAGAATAGTGGAGAGGTAATGTTGTAAACCCCACACTTTTATCCGTATATATGTGTATTGGCAGATATAGCAAGAAATTATTTTCTTTTGAAATGTTAATATGGTAAAATCCGAGTAAATAGTAGTTAAAACCTAGTATAGCTTGTAAATATATGAAATCGTTGTAATAGAACTTATACCAACTTGGTTTGATGTACAAAAGTATGTTGTATACGTTTGGATTGTAATTGGAAAGGTTTGGAATGGATTGGAAATGTAGAAGGAAGGATTTGTAGAAAAACAGACAAAACTTTTCAAAAGGTCGCAGAAAAACCTTCTGGAAGGTTAAGGTAAAGGCTTATCCAGTAGGATAAATGTGACGCTCCAAAATCTGAGGGTTCGTTGATTACCCATTAACCTGCAGAATACTCGTGGATACTGAGTAATTCGATATCACGCCATTATGCCCCATTTACCGGGAACCATAATTTTACAAAATTTGGGTAGAGTATCTTTTGTACGGAAAGCTCTATCCAAAACACAACCTGTGCAATCATATAATAACAAGACCCATCCGAGACCAAATATTTAACAATGATCACACCAGGTCCATTTATGAGTAAATATAGACCACACCAGATCCATTTATCTATATTCATACAAAACATGCAAGGCTATATTAAAATTAGTCCATAAAAGTCGAATTACAATTCTTTACATACATGACATGCCGAAATTAAACTACAAGTCAAATTTTACAAACAAAAGATTAAAAGCCACAAGTCGGCTTTTCTTCAACCATGGGACCCCGATTGTGAGCCGTCCGTCGGTGCATAACCCGCACTTGAAATGTTTCCCGTATAGGGTGAGCCAACGCCCAGTAGAGTATATCCGACAAAGGTTACTCCCCACCTTAGATGCATATGCAATGTGGATAAACAACAAACAACATTTAACAACCATTCATACAAGAATATGCATTCAATGTTGGAAAGCAACCGTGTCATGCCATGAAATGAGATGATACTCACTCATGCACTTAAACCCAAGTCCTTACCGACTTCCACAACACAATGCAATGCCGATGTGTAATGACCCGTCTTCGACGGAAATACATCCAATGATCGCTTTGAATAAAAAAACATGCGTTTTATAAATCAGATCATTATTGGATGGTACTCATTAATGAGTATTTTCTTATAAATCAAAATCTCGTGTCTTGTTGGGCAACGGATTTTGGATTTCATACCGCCGGTTCCGTATACCATACTACACTTTTTC